AAAAGAAAGAAAAGAAAGAAGAAGACAGTATTCATCCTTTCTCTATGAAGAATGAATCTATAAAAAAAAAAAAGGACGTACAGAGTAATACAATATGCGAAAAAAGTTCAATGCGTAGAGAATCGTTGGATGGATATATAAAAAATATGTTGATGATGTTGAAAAAATGATCAATAATTCTAGAGAGGAACTTTTATATTGGTTTTTTTCCTAATGTTGATGGAGGACATATGTGGCTATCCATTAATGAAAAGAGAACTTCTGTAGTGCAGACTCTCATCCGAGAAAAATGATAAATACTAACCTTTGGTCTGAAGTATTTGTATATGTGTACTTAGTATGCGACTTCCAACTAGTATTTTAATTCTTAATATATCAAAACTTACTGAAAATGTAATTTGCTATATACCATTGGATGCGCCGTGAGCTACTCTACAAAACTACATATGTGCCTTTTCAATTCAAGCGAAATTACAAATTTGTCAGTCATTTACTTTTTTTGAATTTTTCAGCATTTTCCGAAAAAAAAAATTTTTTCAATGTCAAAATACGTTGTTGTTTGATTCTAATACCACCATTGGATAGAGCAAACAAAGTTGTCTATCATACATAAGTTTCGCAAAAGTCTGCAATTCTAAAGGTTGTTTTTGAATGAAATTTTTGTATGACTCAAAAAAGTTTTGGTCCAATACTTTTTTTGAGCAACTGTATATAGTTCAACACTAAAAAAGCAAGAGGTCGTTTTTTTATATTAATCTTGTGGTCATTTTTTTTTTACAAGTTGTATGTCTTGAAGGCAGCAACGATATAAAATATTATTAGTATAATTACTGGTCTGCCAAACATGATCAAATATATTTCCTTCATCATATCTTTATTAAAATAATGTCTTTATTTTTCTTTTATGATCTATAAGAAAACGAGATGAAACTTTCTTCTGTTCTGTATTAACTCTTCATTAATTGATTTTCACGACAAATTGAAAAACAATTTCTATAGTAAAAATAATAACAAACTTTGTTGTCCATCATAGACAGCTTATCAATATATCACAAATTCAAGGATGAGAATAAAAGAAAATCTAATGCTTTATGAAAAACTGATCTTTTGATTAATCTTTTGAGATTGACAAAAACCCACCAATCCAATAGAAGATATGACCCATAAAGGTTTCTGCTGCGTCGTCATTATATATAAAGAATTTCAAGTAATTTCTTTGCAGTGCATAAGAATTCTAAGTAAGTGTCACTAAAGATCGATAAAATCATTTTTAGACGAACATGTCTTTTAGATTTATTTAAAAAAAGAAAATTTCTATTTTTAACTTTTCAAAATAATCTTACAAATAAAATTCATTTTTTTTCATTTTAGATCTGTAGTAAAAACCAATTGAATAGTACAATGTAAAAAAGAACTTAATAATGGCTATTTCTTCTGAATCAGCACAACTTCCAAAGTAAAGATTTTTATTATTAAAATGTCTAATTATTATTTTTTTTCTCTGATAGAAATCCATTGTACAAAGATATTACTCCTCAACAATGGCCAATAATTTATTCCACAAATTACAATATTGGTTTTCTCTATATGGAAAAACTTCATCCATTTGATTCATCAAAATAGGGATCGATTATTAATTTTCTTCGGCATATATCCAATATGAAACAAATTTTATAATACTTCCTTTTCATTTCTTTAGAAGCAAAAATGATCATAAACGAAACAATAGTAAGTCCGAATGAAGTAACGAGAGAAGATCTTCTTGTCGTTCATACAAAACGTTATTTATCCAGTCTTCAATGGAGTGCACGAGTAGCATTTGTTCTCGAAATACCATCAGTTGCCTTATTACCTAATTTTATTGTTCAATGGCGTGTTCTTAGACAATTACGATATCACACTGGTGGAACTGTACTTGTAAATATCACAAAGAAAAAAGCTCATTTTAATATTATTCTTTAATTTGTTTCAGGCAGGAAAATTAGCATTAGAACGTGGCTGGTCAATAAATGTCGGTGGTGGTTTTCATCATTGTTCATCAGATCATGGTGGTGGTTTTTGTGCTTACGCTGATTTGACATTACTTATAAAGAATCTCTTTATGTATTATCCTGATCGAGTTAAAAAAAGTTCTCATTGTTGATTTAGATGCACATCAAGTAAAAAAAATTTCCAATTAAAAACAAAGAAAGTTTCATCTTTGTTTAGGGTAATGGACATGAACGTGATTTTATGAATGATGAAAGAGTATTTATTATGGATATGTATAATCGTTTAATTTATCCTCGTGATCATCAAGCTAAAAATGCAATTCGTTGTAAAATTGAATTGAAACATCACACAAATGATAAAACATATCTTCGTTTATTACATATTAATCTTGAAAAATCTTTGAATGAATTTCAACCTGATTTTGTTGTTTATAATGCTGGAACAGATATTCTTCAAGGTGATCCATTTGGAAATCTTAATATTACACCTGAAGTATAGTTTTCTTTTGTTTAATTTAAAAAAATAATGACGAGAGTTTTATTTAGGGTGTAATTATTCGTGATGAAATTGTTTTTACAAAATGTATTCGAGAAAGGAATATTCCAATTGTAATGTGTACATCCGGTGGATATCAACAAACAAATGCAAGAGTTATAGCAGATTCCATTTTAAATTTATATACAAAAAAATTAATTTCATGGCAGTAGAATTTGATTTTTTTTTAATATTAATCTCGCGATATTTAAATATACCAAAAAAAAAAAACGTTTGTCTGATTTTGTTTTGTAGATGAATTCATTTGTGTCTGTAACAAGTTATGATGAATTGAAAAAAACAGTGGAGAAATATGAAAAAAGATAAAAGGATTTTTGTATTATTTTGTGGAGCGAAAGATAGTGAAGGACATAGTTGGTGTCCGGATTGTGTTGCAGCGGAGAAACCTGTAGAAGAAACAGTGAAATCATCATTACCATCAAATGGAGTTTTTATTGAATTTTCAGTTGGTGATCGAGCAAGGTATGAAAAACGACAGATGAAAGAATTGTGAATTTTTTGTTTGTTGATAGTTGGAAAGATCCAAAATGTCCATTTTGAACAGATTCACAACTTCGATTGACAAATATTCCAACATTAATTGAATGGGGAACGGTAAAGAATGATTTATTATGTTGAAATAAATCATCTGTTTGGCTTTTCTTTATTTAGACTAAACGTCTTACTGAAGGTCAATTACTCGATCCGGAAATGATTAAAATACTTTTTGAAGAAGATTAAATGAAATTTTTTCGCAATTATTATGATTCCGAGCAATACACATCGTGATTTTTTTATAGTTGTGATTCTTTTTTTTCCTTTAAGAAAATGATCGAATTCATATAAAAAATAAATAATGCTTTTTATTCATTTGATTTCATTGACCGAAATCAATACGAGAAGCAAGATAAAAGAAAGATGCTGCTATTTGGTTCAAACAATCGAAACCTTGATTGCATTTAATAGTGAGAGTTTGGTTATCTGATGATTTGACAAGTGTTTTTATGACTTTTCTAAATAAACTAACAGAATCGCGTTTTTTTTTCTTTCGGCACAGGTATTCTCTCTTTCTCGGCAAGTAAGATAAAATATTTCAATGTCTCAGGTCGAGTCACGAATGTCAACAATGTGCTTTAGATATCCGAACATGATGTAGCAATAATAAGAATGCAACAAAGCTAATGAAAACAAAAACTAGATAAACGATTTGCGATAAGGCTCCAAAAATATAAAAGACGATAGCAAAAAGAAATTTTGACGTAAGAAACCATTTCACCATAAATGGCGCTACCTCCAAGTAAGTTCTTTTTTTGAGTATTTATTCTATTATCTTTATTAGTTGGATGAAGAATCGTACTATAGAGATACTGGAGCTGTTTGGGTTTTGGCAAGGCGGAAAAATCTCATTCGGACATTCCGAGCCATTCCCACCCATCTCCATCCATTCTCAGCCATTCCCTGCCATTCCCATCCATTCGCAGCCATTCTGAATGGCCGTGAATGAGATTTTTCCCCCTTGAATCAAATAGTATAGAAAAATAGAGCGAAAGACGCTCTATCTGTTCAAAAAAAAGAAAAATTTTTCAAGCGATCTATACGAAAATTCGATATCAGGCTCACTACTTTTGGATTTCCCTAAGTAGATAGATTTTTTGATTTTTTCGTGATATTTCTGGATCATGAATCATTTTAAACAGAACATGAAGATTGTTCTCATTTTGTGAAATTATTCCAAAAAAAATCTTGATTTTGTTTTCTTTTTCATGAACGTTATATTGTTATTATTAAATAGAAGCAAAAAAAGAAAACACAGAACCAAAAAACACAATGGAACGAAAAAACACAATAGAACCAAAAAACACAATAGAACCAAAAAAAAAAGATCTATGATAAAATCTTTGTCTTTTACAGGATTTGTTGGAATACATCTGAACGAAGGAAAAAGCGATTAGAGAAATAATTTGAAATAATTTATTTAACCTTCCAGTCAGAAATTCTTCAATAAGACGTTGTATTAATTGTTGACCTTCTTCTTTATCATATTCATCTTCATCATCGCTTTGATTTCCATTAGTACTATTAAGATGAAGATTACTAGGACTACTACTAATGGAAATATTTATATTTTCATTAATATGATTTGATGCATAATGTAATAGTTCTTGTTGTATTAAATTATTTGTATTTGTCCAATGTGGTTTTTTAATAAGATTGTAAAGAATTTGAATACTATTATTTTCATCATTGGAATTAATTTCATCAATAAATGAAGATTCTTCTGTAATAACATTTAAATTTCCATGTAAAGGTACCATAGATAATGATTTATTTTGTATAAGATCATTAATAAGATAATCATTTTTATCAGTTTGACTATTAAATTCTTGATAACTATCATCATTGAATGAAGATACATTATTACAGAAAGATTTATTGGCACCCTTTTGATTCATTTGTAATGTATACGGTCCAAAATTAATACCTTCATCAGGGTGTGGGTGTGGGCGTGGATGTGAATGATGGAAATACTCACACCCACACTCACACCCACACCCACACCCTAAAGAAAATCCTATCATATACTTATCTGATACTTTATTTATACCAGATTTGGTCAGTGTCCTCTTCAGAATCTGATTCGTATTATCCAAGGAAAGTATCCACTAGTATAAGTAAGTATCAGATAAGTATATGGTAGGATTTTCTTTATTTTTTGATTTATGATCTTCTTCTTCTTAATTTTGCTTTCAATTTTAGATTTATCTTCATCTGTGTTTATTACTAAATTTCTTTTTTGTCTGTGTAATTTTTTTAAAATATTTTTAAGTATTTATTTGAATACTGTTTTAATTGATAGCTATCATCGATCTAGAACTATATACCATCTCTCGTTCTATTTTTTTTCTTTTTCTCTTCATATATGTAACCAATCAGGCGAGGGTGTCGTTCATCTGAAGAAGTACCCTCCTGTGTTCAAAGCGAATTGAACTAGTACCCACTTAGATATTACATCAAATAAGAATGTTATCAAATATTTTGGTTTTTTTTTTTAGATTTATTTATTTCTTAAATATCATCATCACCAAATTATCATCTTATTCTAAAAGATCGATTTATTTATCATCGTCATAAGGTAAAGTAATTTTTTGATTAAAATAGAATTTCACTTAAAAAAATACATATCAACAAAAGAAAAATATTATTATTTCTTCTTTCACATTTTATTAGTATAGACTTCTTTTCATATTTAGAGAATGTGTGTAAAGATCATGGAAAATGCAAATTCAGCAAGCATGCTGAAGGTGTGGGTGTGGCTGTGGGTCTGGGGTGTGGATACAGATCATGTCTTCATCCACACCAACACCCACACCCACACCCTACAAGACAAGTTCCGATTTCCTAGACCACTATCTACATCATGTTCACATATTATGCATAATTAGACAATTAACACAGTTCTGGTGACCAGTTTCAGTGTTTGTCAAAGATTAAGTGACCAGTTACGGTTCTTTTCAGAACAACTGGTGACCAGTTCGAGTTCTTTTCAACGTATCTGTTCACCAGTTCTTTTAAGAACTCAGTTTACTTCTTTTGAGAAATCTCTAAACAGTGGAAGCTTGTTCTGAGTTCCTTTGAAAAGAACTCGGTACTTGTTTAGTTTAATCACTTAATCACAGTGTCCTCACCCACACACAGTGCTGTGTGTGTATATAAATTACACCAATCAGGGTGAAGTGTAATTAAACTAAACTAGAACCAAGAACTCGAACTGGTCACCAGTTATTCTGAAAAGGACCGTAACTGGTCACTTAATCTTTGACAAAGACTAAAACTGGTCACCAGAACTGTGTTAATTGTCTAATTGTGCATAATATGTGAACATGATGTAGATAGTGATCTAGGAAATCAGAACTTGTCTCGTATTATATTTAAAAAAAGAAATCCCTAAATCAAAATTCCTACTTAGTTACCAGTTTTAATTTTTTTCAATTTCATTATCCACAAATGTGGATGCGGTTTGAGGGTGCATTTAGGGTGACCAAATTTAGGGTAAATGATAACCTACCACTGCTTTTCTCTTTTGCTTATTGAAACTATTAGACCGCTAAAGAAAAATTGTATGAGTACACTGATTTTCACTTGACAGAATGCTTTGACAAAGTACTTTATTGATTTTATTGAATATTACTTTCTGCATGTTTTGTGGGCCTTCAGTGTCAAATTTCTTTGATTATGTTCTTCTCTATTGCTTACAAAGCAGAAACCAAACTGTTATCCATGCTAGACCTCGTCATTCAATATATTGATATTCATGAGAGATCAGATTAACATAATTAACTTCATTTCAGAAAAACAGTACATTCTTCTAAAGAATTTTTAGTGAGAGAAATATGTTGTAGCAAAAAATTCATCAAAAGCACACAGGTAATTCATAATAAGATGTTCGATAGAACTTATTTGTTCATTACTAGCAATTAGTAATGAAATAGTTATACCAGTATCATTAGATTCCATTAAGTATATAGAAAATAAAAGGCTCAAAACAATTAAATGATGAATCAAAAATGATGGATGAAATTATTTTACTAGTGTTTTCTGCCGATCATAGAACAGAACTCTATGAAAACTTAATTGGAACACAACTATTGGCATAGATATTAGCTTCGATTTGGAATATCATCGTATATGCGTCCGAATCTAATTGTCGAATCTGTTTTTTTGCTTGCTTCTTTCGGAATTCAGTTGGATTTTATCGACTGATCGTATATTCATTCATGTAGTCAAAAATTGGTGTTGCTATCGAGGAAGGTACATAGAATAAATTGTCATCTGTCAAATGAATATCTTAGATCGAAAATATAGAAGACAAGACTTTACTAAAGCAGAATTATGTACTAAGGATATAGACCATGTTGTTCATATGATTTTTACTAATCGGTCGAACTACATCCTAACCTACTCATACTTACTTTCATGTTGTCACTAAGACTTAAGTACGATGCATGATGTCGTTTCACTCTTTAATCGAATATACTGGAGTAGAAGATCCTTCTGTGAACATATAATTCACTTGAGTTCATTGTGATAAGTACAATCGGATAAAAATAGTTGTTTGTGTATTTAAGTTCTTTAAGATTACATTTATTTATTAGTTACTGACAAACAAAATCAGCTTACATCCCAAAAAATTTTTATGACTTTAAGTCTTCCAACTCAAAATAAGCTAAGCAACTATTTTACAACACATAAAAAAAGCAATATTTAGATAGTTATATGTTCTGGTAGTTTATTTCATTGCCATGGGTTTATCATATTATAGTTGCTTCAGTGATCCGAAAAAAAGAAACTTTATATATCTGTTGTACTTCATAAAGACTAAATACTAGAATAAAAATGAAATCTTAAAAGTTTGTGACAATTTCCTGATTCTGCTTCTTTTTCAATTTCCTATGCTGTCTTATCAATAGAAAAGCGTTCAAGAAAAATTCTTTAGTGCAATCTCTTGTGAAACTAAAATGTAAAACCTGATATACCTATTGTCATCAAATGAATAAGGTTGTGAAGTATGGGAATAAGTATAGATATATTATTTGTCTACAAACACACCATGATTCTGAATATTTTTGGAGGATTCAAGTAATGATAACTCCCGCTAAAGAATTAATTAGATATCTTACCCTTCTGACATTTACTTGAACTAACGCCTGTATACCACCACAGTAATCGAAAATCACATACAAAAACTAATTTTTTTAAAACCATATGATAAGAAAATTATTTATTTTGTTTCAATTTCAATATTACATTTTTATCGCGAGTGAAATATAGCTGTTTCTGAGAAGTAGCAATTTAATAAGAATTATATTCATTTAAGACGAAATAATAATACAAAGACTGAAACAGAAAAATAATTTTTTAATGCTAAAGTTTGAAAAATCAATTTTTTGGGTACAACTCCTGATGAACAACACCACAGCATCCTCACTCTTTGATGTACCCTTGCAATTATATTGATCAGTGTAGAGTGTCGTTCTTCTACAGTTACATCTTCACTTGTAGCATGTTCCTAGATGAATCGAACTCTAAGTTCACCGACATCAAACTCATCAACAATTCCAGAAACATTATGTTAATTACCTTCATTAAAGAGAAGTAAAATTTCGTTTAATTTCAATCTTGATATTAGTCCAAACGTTACCAAGTTGTTCTTTATAAAACTTCGATGACATTACAAAGATAATGAATGTAAGCATAGGTGGAATGAATGAAACAAAATATCCAATAAGATACAATGTTGCATCATTGTTTGAATTCATACATTTTGATACAAATCCAATGACTAAACGTGGTATTCCAAGTATAACTATTACAAAAGGAGCAACCAATATATGCTTATGTACTTGAATTTGTTCTATAAAAATTGATATGTATTTTGTATTTGTTCGAGTCTTTGCTTGTTGATGAGATGTTTTTAAGATGAGAACCACAGTCGAGAAAAGATTAACAGTAAATGGAGTACAGAAGTGAAATGCATTTATAAACATATTGGACATTTGTAAATTCGATGAATAAGAAGTAATACACCAAATTCTGCTATCATCATCGAATTTATCATCCATTAAACGTCGATAAAATGGATCATAAATACAAGTAGAAA